CACAGTGAGTGCTGGGGGCCCTGGCCCGGCACCCCCCTTCCCGCCGGTGCGGGGGTCTGGGCTCACCTGGGCTCGGGGGGCCCTAGGAGACTGGGCCTAACTCCAGGTTCCTGGGGTCATATCGGAGCCTGTGAACTCCCCCCTGAGCCCCGTGTGTGTGTGGGGGGGGAAGCCGGGCCTCGATGGGCAGCAGGGGGAGCCCAGACCCCTGAACCCAGTCCTTTGCTCACTCGGGTAAACTGAGGCAGGAACTCTCACCCCGTCTCCCTCAGCCTGTCCCCCTGGCTTCCACGGTCGTGGCTGCCAGGGGGTGTGCAGGTGCCAGCATGGAGCCCCCTGCCACCCCGTCAGCGGCCAGTGTCTGTGTCCCGCTGGCTTCCACGGCCAGTCCTGCGAGAAGGGTGAGCGCCCCCCTACCGCACCCCTGCCCTGCCCAGTCGGGTGTGGGACGGGAGGAGAGCTGAGTCACTGCCCCGCCCCCGCCAGGGTGTGAGCTGGGCTCATTCGGAGAGGCCTGCGGTCAGCGGTGCGACTGTGAGGGTGGGGCCACCTGCGACCCTGTCACCGGCCACTGTCTTTGCCCCCCAGGCCGCACGGGGGCCACCTGTGACCTCGGTGAGTCTGCAGTTTCACCGGTGGGGCACAGGTGTGGGTTCCTGGACCAGGACCTTGGTCCGGCCCTGCCTGTGCCGTGCCGGTCTGGGCTCGGGGGGCACCCTCTGCTCCCCCTCCCGCAGGGTCCGCTGTCAGGGCCACACCCTGTCCTCAGGCCCCTACAGGCTTCTGGGTGACCTCTGCCCGGGGAGGTGGGAGGAGACCCTGGTCTGCCCCCACGGCCGGGACAGGAAGGGCGCCCTGTTTGTGGTCTTGCTGTGGGTGCATCGTGACCGCCAGGCCCCCCTTGCCAGCCCTGGACAGGGAAGGACCTGGCGCTGTGGGTCCGGACACGTGCTGGTACCCGGCGCTTTCCCACGGGAGAGCCCACGGGGCCAGGAAACAGCGGAGGGTTTGTCCTCAGGACCCCACCCAGAGGGGGGCCGGGCCGGGGCGGAGGTGGCTCCCGGCTCAGCGCTCCGCCTCCCCCTGCAGACTGCAGAGCCGGCTGCTCCGGGCCGGGCT